TGAGTAAATAATCACTTTGACGGGAAGTTAATTGAGTATCGGACACTAGCTGTTAATTGTGTTGGTGCACGCTAATGGGATTGTTGTAAAGCCGCGTCAAAAATCTTATCAGGTGTGTATTGATATTTATCTAATCTTTTAAAACGTAATTATTTTTAATACACAGGGTGTCGATGCACAGATACATTGGGACAGAAACCCGTTTCGGTGATTTTTCACAAAATTTGTTTTCTTTTTGTTCTTCTTATTTTTCTATTTGTCGTTAAATCATGTCATACCCCTGATTTGTAATAAAGGAGAAAGTTGGGACGCTTTTCTGTTGACATTATTTTCTCCATGAGATATCTTCCACACTACATGTATTTGTTTCAAAATCATACGACTGTCCTATCAGCGACTTGATTTCTTTCGATATAGATTCCTTTCAATAAAAACACATTTTTATTTCAAATATTTAAAACATTGCTATGTCTGTTTATTTGCCATAAATCACAAGCTACCTGATAGACTAAAGGGCGTATGGAACCGTAAATGAGTCTAAAAGCACATATTAATGTAATATTAGTGAGTATAAAGTGATTTACATTCAGTTTTTTTTTTTTTAAAATTGTAATTTCTAATCAATTCTGTTCGGTGAAATACATGAACAATCCAAACGGAATGACAGTCTCGTTTACGCCGGCTTCGTCCGTTCTAAAGGTTTTTTTTCTTTAGTATTATTTTATCATTTGTGGATCAGCCATTACTGTTTACTGCCGCATTGTAATTTAGGATCTGTCTTTCTTTGTTCATTCGCTTTGTTCATTGTGTCTTAAATATTGAATATTAGGATCCCACATTTTCACGGCAACATAACAACATCAATATTGAAATTGATCAATATTGAATTCTTATTGTGTTTTAAATTTCGATTATTATAAAAAATACTGAGATAGAGACATAGCTCCTTTAACCATGTTTGTACTGAAAAGTAGGACGTTAAACCCCATTTCATTCCATTCCTTTATCAGCTTTTGTGGTCCTCGATCCGACGGCCAATCCGCTCGTCATTTATAAATATAAACATGAAATGTATCCATATCAAGTTTCAAATGATATGAAATGGGGTTTAACGTCCTACTGTTCTGCTCCTATACTGGGCTAATAAAGACGGGCATACGCCATACAGTGTGCTATGAGGGAAATTGTGCCCGGGCAGCGGCACTATGACCTACTCTATATCGAATTCCATCTGCCAAGTGATCTTTTACGTGCACGCCAATGTATACAGCGGGCCTCGGTTTTTCGTCACATCCGAACGACTAGACAGCTGTCCTTTACAGGCTCTCCGTCCTGCACCACTGACAAGGGGAAACCATATCGGAAAATGCCGATGAACTTTCTCGGACAAAGCAGGGATCGAACACGCGATCTTTAGACTAGCGAGCCAGCGATCAAGTTTCAAGAAAATTGTCTTAATGTACTGTCTTTGGTTGACCTAACTTATTTTGTACCTCGATACGCTCGGCAAAATCATATATCTACCCCTGAACAATAATATATAACCTATAACATTAAATAATTGCTGCGTCACAAGCTCGTGATAATCAGTGGGAATAGGGTGCATAATTTATGTTCGTGCAATCCTATTTCATAATAAGCAAATCTTGCATATAAAGACGGTTCATGTTAAGGTTTGTCAAAGATGTGTGTGACAAGCTGTGAAACGCGTCATAAGTTCTACCCCTATGACTAACCAAAGGGAGAGAGAGAAATGGGGTTTAACGTCCACTCGACACAAACTAGGTCATTTCGGGACTAACATATGGTTTAATTTTATTTCAATAATTCGCTTGTGCGTAGGAGTCTTTAGCAGTCGGAGGAAACCGGAGGACCCGGAGAAAACCCACGAGGTTGGACAGGCGACCCTACTCCTTGTCACGTACAACTGGGAATTCGAAACCACGCCAGTAGACTCAATGACAGACTTTAAAATACAGCGCGCACACGCTAACCATTCAGCCATCCAACCCCCTACTAACCAAAGGAAATGCTGGGAATCCTCAAAAATTTGTAAAAGACCCTCACCCGAAAATATACCCTTTCCGTTGTTAATATTTTATCACACGTTGGGAACGTTTTTAAAAAAAAAACATGTAGTAACATGTTGACGACATCACGGGCCACAAATCATGCGATGATGTTTATTATGACTATATCCGGGTTCTATAACCCAAGGTCGTCACCTAAGCGTATATAAATAGCAATAGTACGATTTGTGTTTGTTAACGTAGATGGAAATATAAACGTATTCAATATCGTTAAATTTATGTCTGTATAAATACGCGACACACATTCTGGTTGAAACTATATAATAATTAAATAAAAAATGTGAATATTTAACATATGTATAATTTCAATTTTTTGTACATTCTTTTAAAACAAACTTTTGGTTACTCTATCTGCGCGTAACAATCTACTCGTTGTTCTTTCAAAAAAGTATATATCGATACGTTTACTGTACTGCACTGCCCTTCCTATATATTCGTAGCTCTGTTTATTTCACAGGTTTTAGTTTTATAAATTGAAAACTTGGGTTAATCTCAAATTATTTCTTGGTGTATTTCAGTGTCGGCCTCGGGTATCTTACAAACTTTTCCACAGCCTTCAGTACAACACTTCATGTCCTCAGAACACATAAAATCTCCTAGACAGTTTACACCTGGAATAAAACTACAGGGACCTGGGTATGGACTTGGTGGAGGGCAGATACCCGGATGTTCCTCGTTATCAACGCTTCTTGCTGAAACAGTAACATAAAGAGTTATAATACAACGATTTGCTGTTCAGTGGCGGTATTACATTATATGTTTAACACAGTCACATTAGATTAAATATTACCAAACATACCAACATACTATGTCTACATTATGTAATACTTTTCTATTTTCATAACCTTAAATGTAATTATAATGTATATCTAAACATTGCACTCCAAAAATGTATATATGTTTGTAACTCACTACCTATACATATGTCCACCATTGTTTACTGTAAACATAAGATTAAACTATTTTATATGTTTGGAGAGAGCACATATAGGCCTTTGCCTGTTGTTCAATCCATTTCAGTTTATTGAATAAAATATTGTTTAAATTAACATACTTTAAAGGGTCAATCTCGATTATGTTTTGAAGAATAAAACTGCCTAATTTTGTGTTAAAAGTCCTTTTAAAATCGTCTACCTTAGGGCCGAGCAGCTAACTCAATATACGTGATACGTTTTCAAACAACTTAAACCCGTTGTTGGAAATGGAGACCGGTGTCCCAAGCTGTGTCATACGGTGACAGGATAAAACCAGACTTTTATTTCAAAAAATAACGTGTAGATGAAATGTACCCTTCGTTATCAAGTACAACACGTGGGTCATACACTTTATAGACCTCTAAAGGAGCGGCACTAGGTTATCAGGTCTCCCAACGAAAAAACTGACACCAAAATCTTATAAGCGGTTTTTACGTTCACGTCCAAACAATTCAATGTTTTGAGCTGAAATTTTTAGAGAAGGTAAATACACCAATTCTCTATATTTTGGCGCCTAAAATTAAATTTAATACGCACACAGACTTTTATTTCTGAGACTTTATTAAAATCGGGATGGTCCCTTTAAATATAATGGGGGCAAATGTTGCACAAAAACATAATTTGTCAAATTCATGGTTATCTTCCTATTCATTAAAAAAGTGCAAACGCTGATAAATAGAGGAATGCCATCGATCTAATTCATATTCAATGAAGGAGGTCATCAAAACGTTAATATGCTGCTTGAAAGATTTACAGACTGAGGTCCTTCAATGAACCTCTATGCTCTCAGTGGCTGTTCCGCTGTCACTTAAAGACTGTGCGGGATTTAAACGTTTTAGAATCCCCTGCAAACTACAATATTGTGAAAGTGGAATTTCCAATAAATATGAGTTCATAGCGTGGATTAATCCGTGAGAAATTTGATGTTTTTCGAAAAATGCAAATAATATATCGTTATTTCAATAATATACATAATCGCGTTTGTAGATTTCCCCATACATAATTAATGGCCATTACTAACTCTTGGCCAGCGTTCATAGCCGTGAACCAAAAAGTAATCCCTTTGATGATTTTTACCTTAAACTCTTGGAGACATAAAAATATATAGCATATACTTACCTGAAATCATGGCAACAGCCAAAAAAAGTATAAAAACGAACTGCATGGTTCTGGCACTTTTTGTTCACTGAACTAACACAATTCGATGCTCTACTATTGATAGGCCTACATGCGGATGAAGGCAAGTAGGCTTAATTGGGCTTAGCCGTGTTTACGACAATATTTTGAAGCGGACACAAACATGTTTGTTATTGTTATTTGGGTTTGACCCTGCTGCGTAATACTTATTCTAACGGTAATAACAACATACAACTTTTAGAAAAGCGTTCAAATTACCTATGACTTCTCATATTTTAAGCGAGACAGAGAGAGAAATCGGGTTTAACGCCCACTCAACACAAACTAAGTCATTTTGGGACTAACATATGGTTCAATTTAATTTCAATAATTCGCTTGCGCGAAAGAGTCTTTAGCAGTCAGAGGAAACCGGAGGACCTGGAGAAAACCGACGAAGTTAGAAAGGCTGCCCAACTTTAACGCGCACACTTTGGACCACTAGACACCCACCCCTCCACCTTTTAAGCAGAATTGGAAAAATTTAAATGACAATCCCAAAGCTCATCACCAACAGATTTCTGTTAAAATACCATAAAGATGATAATAAACATACAATCTAGGGAAGTGTTTCATTATATAAATCAAATTCTTGGTTTGCTTGAATATTGGAAATAGTATGATTACATTAACTGAAAGAAAGTAAGATTGTTAAGATTTCTAAAACATCCTTGGTAGACGTGAATATATGTGAAGAAAAAAGACAAATATTTCCGTTTCTTTTTTAAATTGTATTATTGAGATAAATACAAACAACAGTAGAACATGTTTTCATGGATTTTCTTTATCAACAGCTTGATTAATTAGCCGGGATGGTGGAAGCTGAAATCATAAAAAAAAAAATCATAAAATGGCCTACATTTTGTTATACAACTTTTGATCAACGGTGTTTAACCCATAATGTATCATACATAATTTTTGGACTAAGAAGACAAAAAAAACCTCTACAAACTTTGGTTATTGTTATGAAATACAGTGGAAACTCATTGTCTCGAACTCGATAAACTGTACGACTTGGTATACAGGGAATTATAATCCATTTATGGGAACGCAAGCTATTATCCGAACATTTTTTTTTTTTTGGGGGGGGGGGGTAATTTGTTAATTTATTGGCATTGGTCTAATTGGCGTGGGGAGCTGCGATGGCTCAATGAGTAAGACGTTGGCTCGCAAACCAGGAGGTCTCACGTTCGCTTCCTGTGTTGGCCCATAAAGTTCATCGGGGTTTCCGGCGTTGTTCCCCGCTAAAAAGTGGTGCGGGGCGTAAGGCCTGGCAAAGGACGACGTATAGTCGTTAAAATAGGACAATAAACCGATGCCCGTGTACGTATTTGCGTGCACGTAAAAGAACCCTTGTCAGTTGAGATTTGAATAGAGCTGCAGTCCGGGCAAACTTTTGCTCGTAGCAGACTGCATTTGCGTTTATGCGTCTTCATTAGCCCAGTCTATGCAGAAAAGTGGGACGTTAAACCCCATTTAATTCATCTAATTGTCGTGATTATTTTCTTCAAAATTACAAGAAGCCATAAGAAAAACCTTACCAACATTTTGTTATGTCATGGCTAATTTACAGACACGACCACATCCTTCAGAGCAGCATTTATGACCTGTTAAATCAATAAACTAAACGTCAAGTAAAAACAAACCTTGGTCAATATCAATTCATTAAACATACATTATACAAGAGCTAAATCTGCATATTGCAGGTCTTTCTTTAGACATTAGACATTAATTAACTTATCCAGACCATAATCAACCCTCGATCTCATCGCTAGCCTGTGATATTTACTGGATTAGGATCCGAGTTGCAGCTCAACTTTCATTCATGATTTAATCATGAAATGAAATGGGGTTTAACGTCCTACTGTTCTGCTCCTATACTGGGCTAATGAAGACGGGCATATGCCATACAGTGTGCTATGAGGGAAATTTTGCCCGGGCAGCGGCACTATCGCCTACTCTTATATCGAATTCCAACTGCCAAGGGATCTTTTACGTGCATTCCAATGTATACACGGGACACGGTTTTTCGTCTCATCCGAAGGACTAGACAGCTGTCCTTGTCAGGCCCTCCGTTCTGCACCACTGACAGATGAACTTTCTCGGCCAATGCAGGGATCGAACACCCGACCTCCAGGCTAGCGAGCCAGCGTCTTAACCAACCAGCCACCGTGGCTCCCATTTAATCATGAAATTGATAATCGAGACTATGTTCTTTTATTGTACCGACTTTGGTAATGATGATCGAGGCTAGGCCGAAAATTCAATCGCTAAATTCTCGGTTCAGAGTGGATCATTTTGAATGAAATTTTCAGCAAATTCCCTTTACATTATCTAGTTTTTAACTATTATAGTGAGAACTGCCAACGCTTTATCTAATCTCCCATAATGTATCTTTAAGAAAAAATATCATTTATGCAGTAGTGGATAAAATGAAGCAGGCGTTCTAGAAATTGTAATCATACCGATCCAATGCTCTCACTTGTATTTGTGAATTTATCGGGGTTTTATTCTGCAGACTTTACTCACCTGATTGACATTCTGAATCTGATAAACAATTGTATCCTGGTCTAAAAACACAGAATCCCACCATTCCACTGGGTGGTGGACATTGTCCTTCTTTTTCTTTCACAACAGGAGCTACATAAATATAGTATAATGATTATAATAAACCACACACTTTTCTCATCCACCATGACTCAAGAGGCAACACAAAAACAGTTTGCTATACTCCCGCACCCCCATTTCTGAATTGACAACGTTATATTTTTTTGTAAGAAACTATATAAGTTTTTGACATGGACGGTTCGTAAACTCTATTCTTACATTCCGGATTTTGTCAGAAAACGTCAGAAAAAAAACTTACCAGCTTCTTGTTTTGTCATGGCTAATTTACAGACACGACCACATCCTTCAGAGCAGCATTTATGATCTGTTAATACAATAAAATACACGTTTTGTGAAGAACTTAAATCTTGCTGACCTTGACCAATATCAATAATATTGCAAAAAACATGTTAATTGGTGTCGTACTTTTAGAAACCATAATAATACCGTGCCTAATGTACGACCGTCACTACTACTAGGTTACTACTGTGATAGGTACTGGGCTGCTTTAGAATATTTTGTATAGGAATAATATTTGGTGAGGTCAGCGATGCAAGTGTTGTGTTTCCATCTCACGCTTTACGTGACAAGAAATATTAGAGACTTTTGGCAAGTTGAATTTTTCCCACCCGTATCGCGTATCCTTATAGTCACGTGATACGTTGCGTCAATGTAGTTTTAGACTTTTGGCAGATTTTCGCGCCGCGTACGTATGGGTAGCTGAGCTGAGCGTAGTTCTATTACAGCATGATGGCAGTTATCTACCAAGATCAACATCAGTACTAGTCAAGTACCTAGCCCACAATTTCCTGGAGGGAGTGAAGTAGCTCGACTTTGACTCGACAGCAATTTTTATTTTCACTAATGTATCATTTCAGAAAGTTTATCCCCCTCTACGATAGAATCACATCATTTACAGATTTGCAAGGTCCCACCTCCCTAAATTTAGCACGTAGATCAACCAGCGTGCAGACAGACAGGAAAAATATGAAAATTCCGCGAAAAGTTTATCAAAAATAATGATTAAATTCCAGTCTTTATCATCGTTAAAATCACATCAAATATACACCTTCGTGTTCTAGATACACATAGATTCATAAAAACGCTACGGCACAACATTTCAGCGTCTAAAAGTAGCAAATAATACGGTAAAAAGACGACAATGTTATACGGACCTTTTCCGTATAAAAGCTGTTCGATACGTGCTGCCGTATCCATGTGCCGTATCATGTATGGGAAATACACACGCATTGGTGACGTCACACGCAAAATCGTTTCGGATACGCGATACGGACCAGGAATTTACGCTTGCCAAAAGTCTCTATAGTCAACTACCAAAACGTAGGTTCTCATTATCAAATATCGCTGTGCGGACGCGAATTATTCAATATATTCCACCCCTAACATATTATGTTAGTGCTAAAACGACTCAAGTGGCCGTTAAACCAAAACTCATTTATTTATCTATGTGTATATAGACAGTAGACAGTATTAAAAGTTCACCTGATTGACATTCTGAATCTGCTAAACAATTGTATCCTGGTCTGAAAACACAGATTCCCGCCATTCCACTGGATGGTGGACATTGTCCTTCATTTTGTGTAACAGCACGAGCTACATAAATATAGTATATATAGTATAGTAATGATCATTTAAACTTGTGCCTATCACCAACTACATAAATGTAGTATAGTAATTATGATCATATAAACTTGTCTCTGTCATCAACTACACTCAATATGGAGAATCGTTTAATATTTGGCTTTCACAGACATTTGGTAGTAAACTTCTAATTCAATAAAGAATATTCCTTTTAATAATTATTATTTAAGCAGATTAGCCTCCATCGTCTTAGGCTTGAGTCCAAACGGATAACCCATCCGCACCGAAGGAGTAAGAAATGTTAACACATTTCCGTTATTGATACAATAATGGCCTACTACACAGGACTACTATCGGCACGATTCGGGTGCCATCTTTTTAAAAATTACTATGTGCGTATAAATTTTATAGTCCACCTGTCTGAATTGACAATATTATTCAAGAAGGAATACGTATATTTAGATACATACCTGATACAGCAACCACAATACAGGAGAGCACAATAAACCTCATTATGTTAAAATAACTTATAATATTAACTGTTTATCTTTGACCCTTCCTTATTTCAACAAATGGTTATTTTCACACCGTATCTTGAAATCTGGTTAAATCCAATATCTTGCTGGTCATAATATAGTCTCCAGGTCTCATTGTTGAAAATCCCCAATGTGCAGGTGCTACAACACTTTTCGTTCGGGTCTTCTCATTAGGAACTACCTTTCGCATACTTGCCCAATAGATAATTATATAATTAAAATTATATGATTTTAAGGGCAAGGTGAAGTGACACCATCTTGTCGCAAACTAGCCTCTACACCAACTGGGATGAACATACTATTTTCCAGCACAGAATAGTGGCCCTTGGATACAAAAGTCCAAAACAATATAAATTACTCACGATACTCTTGCTCACTGCCAGTACCCTTGTAAATCATATACCTGTGTGTTATCAAGTAAGCGAAATTTTCAATTTTATCATTTTCGTTCCCAATTTACATTACACCTACAGATCAAACAATAAAAAATGAGGACTATTACATTATCTCAATTGATACCCTGATCTACGTATTACAGTAGTCGAGTCTTAGGTTTTCGATTTGTCTTTCTGTTTTCATGTTGTGTGGGATTTCCGCGTCTTTAGTACTATGTGTTTAGGCTCCCCCAGTTTTTCTATTCAAACTTCAAAATTACCCTTCATATCTTTAGACGCGCGATGCAAATAATCGTTGAACTGGCAAAGTTTAGTGGGGCATTATATCGATATGTAAGGGTGGAATTTACATCACCATAACACCCACTTCGTTTAGTAATTTAACGTGTCTTCTTCCCCAATTTCAAACGTATTAATTTTAAATACATCTCTTTTGAATATTTAATTCAAACAACTACGGAATTAGATTAATTCATATTAGAATCCAAATGATGGTGTGTCATGTACGTGATTTGATATAATTAAAAAATAAATCATTCATGAACGTATGCAGCACTTCCCGTGAAGCCGTAAAAGGTTATAGAAAGGTAAATTAAGATGCAGTATTTACTTTTTGACTTATACTATCACAATTATTTATTGTGTTGGGTGTGACTGAACAATGAATAAAATAATTGCAAATATTTTACTGTAAAACTTAGTCATAACAAATGATAACAATGTGTATTCAATGCAAAAATAGCTTAACACATAAGCAGTTTCAGGGACATGTTCATGTTGTTTTACTATTTTCCATATAGACACTGGATATTCAATCCAGATGATTTTTATGATGGTACTCCATACAAAAATTCTGAAAGTAGTCCCTTGAAAAAAATATAAAAGTTTAATTATATGGACATGGTGTGCTAAAACAAAGATAGTTTTCAAGCTTTGAAGTCTTGATGGTTGTAGTGTATATATTCAGGTATCTCTGTGAGACTTTGTGATTTCCCATGTTGTGTGTTTTAGCCTGTAGCTGCATAGTGCTGAATGGTACATTTGTTTCATATTTTCCAAAGTTACAAATTTCAAAGTCATTGTTTTTGATTCTTATTGTTCACTTTCATTTCAAACACATTTAGATACCAAAATATAGGTACTAAAACTGGTGTGAATGTCGTTGTGGGACCCCCACCCGACCCATTCCAGGTGTTGTGAAAATTTGTTTTTGATTTTTATTGTTCAGTTTCATTTCAAACTCATTTAGATACCAAAATATAGGAACTAAAACTGGTTTGAATGTCGATGTAAGGACCCCCACCCGACCCATTCCAGGTGTTGTGAAAATTTGTCTCTTTACCTTGCTACTAAAATGTCTATAAGTTTATTCGGGGCGATGGCATGAATTTGGATGAAAACTCGTCGTAAGAGGTTATATCAACCATCGTGGAATGTTATTCGTTTTGTTCTAGTATGGTTTTTGATGGGGTTTCTTCTCTTTGCTGCTTAGTTTTACAGCAGAGCTAGCGTTGTGTCGACATCTCAACCAGACTATGGAGCTACCCTGGAAAACCCGTCAAAAATTAAAAAACATTTAATATCTTTATGGGTCAGTCGATTATATTTGTGTCTTATTAGCACAAATTAGTGAACATCAATCTATCAACATTTTTTGTTCCAATTAACTAATTAGAGAACGGTGGTTGGTTTTGTGAATGATGCAAATTAATGATCAATCGACATATTTTGGCGCTTATAATTTATTAAATCTTAGAAACTTCTACCCTAGTCCCTTACTATCTGAAGCTCTGTTGTGATTTATCGCAACAATACAGTCAGTTTTATTTTTGATTATACCGTTGAGGGACATGAGTTCTTTAAATTGAAATTGTATTGATTAAAACAAAAACCTTATGCATTTTGGAGTCTGAATTGCAATGGATACTCTAAGGGACATTGTGCTTCCTCTTTAATCTAATTCATATATCGGAAACAATGGTATTTTTATTTAGTAATACGACATACCAAGCAATCGGTGATATATTACTATTAAAAATGTAGGCTCTTTATGTATCTGTGTTTCCTGGAGTAATGATTGTTCTTGTACAGGAACTGATTTATTCACTTTCCTCTGGAACAATTTACTGGCCCATCGGCTTCTGATGTTCTGTACTCTGATGTGTTATTAAATGTAGTTAGACTTAATAAACAATAACACATGGAAACAGCTACTAGTATAAGCTAATGCTCATCGAAAAGTCGACAGTACGACAGCAAGCCAAAATGTCAGGTCGCTAATAGCGCGATGTGTTTATTTCCTAATTTCTACTTTTCGAGTAGCATTATGGCTTGATATGCGTGTTGGCACCTTCTTACTGACATCATTAAATACAAAAATATGACTAAGTCGAAAGTCGACAAGACGGTACACAAGCCAAAATGTAAGTCGAAAATAAGAAATTAGGAAAAAACGAGGGGCGTTATTATCGCAGTGTATTATTTCTTAATTTCCTATTTTCGAGTCGATTTTGGCTTGTATAGCTTGCTGTCGCCTCACATTTTGTCGTAACTTCTACTTTTCGACTATCGTGTTTTGAAGGGGCGAAAAGTAGAAATTATGAATCGTAATTATAGGCTTTCATAAATATGACAATGTCCCTCTAATTAGTACGTTATCGTGGGGATAATTAGCATTGTGCAAATAACGGCCCGCGAGACGTGTGTCAAGCCAATAAATGACTGTTCGAATTTACAAATTGGTTTATAACTTTATTTCTAGGCCTAAATAATCATGATTTAAAATTTAATAACTCGTGCTAATAAATAAATAACAATATTATATCACTTCTTAACATAAGGTTTACCATTTGAATTTTACTTAAAAATTATAACTTTTGCATAATAAATAAAAGTATTATATATATATATATATATATATCCGCAATGCATCCTAGTTCAAGCCATGTCTTGTATAATATCAACGATATCCATAATAGCTTCAATCTCCTCTGGGGTGGGGTCGTATGTTTCCAGTCGACCATCAGGATGTACCATCATACCGGGAATAAATTTATTAGTGTTATCACGAATCATAGCTCCGGGGGTCAGAAACCTTTTCACAAAGTGCAAAATACAGGGACATATTATTAAACAACAAGGACTGCCTGTACCGAAAGCTATTATACAGCTCTTTGGGTCGGTCAGGAAACAGAAAGCGACGACCGAGAAACCTAGAACTGCTAACAAGGTTAAACCTAAATACTTCAAAATACTCTTTACTCTCTGTTTTCTGCCTCTAAGGATATCCTCTTCAGATATAATCTGAAAATAAACATATATCATTTTAATTCAAGTGTCAGATATGTTTATCTCATGTATAGACTAACATCTGCCTTGTTCAATTACGAGCTGTAATTATGATAACTTTTTGTTTTTTGAGTATCAGAGAATTCATATAAGCGTCCCCAGCCCCCCGCCCCTACTGCGTATATTTTGAAATAAAATAATGTGTGTTAATATTGCAAATGTAAACTTTACAATGCAAGCTTGGATTCGCAAAACATAAACGCTGATACTTAAAGTAATTTACTAACTGGACACAACTACATGATAGAGATTGAAACGAATTTAACTGTGTAAAAACTGGAAATATTCTCGGAAACTTGTCAGCTTTATCGTTAACTAACAATCCATCCATTGCAGAGGAACTTCAATTATTTTCCAACTCGATTTATGTCTTTTCGATATTAAAACATTAGTCCCATATCATTATACAAATGCAACGGTGCGTACCCATAGATTGTTCACTTAACTCTAACCATATTATTATATTCTGCCAGAAACCCGTCGTAGCAAAAACATATGATTAAGCAGCAATCGACCCAGATCGACAAAAAAGCAAACGAACTGTGTTTCAAAGAGACTCTGGCAATTGTCAATCGGGATATACGTATTATTTTTATACACTGCATACAAAACCAACCTCAAAATCTGACAATTCTTGGGCTTGTTGAGTATCGACGTGTGTTGGAGAACCTTGAATATTTTTGTTGGCTAACTGTGCCAGGTTGGCATTCCTTTTATGAAGTTTATGGCTGTCTGTATCCTCTGGATGCGGTGTGTCTTTATAATAAGTAATTGTAGTTGAGGTATGGTATCGATTATCAGATGTTTTTATCGAATCATCTACTGAACCATTAACTGATTTAGGTATTGTTGGTAATTTGGCAACCTCTGAGGCCTTTTGAAACTCCTTCAAACTATCTTCAAGTTGCTGTCTGACGTCCACATCAATGTTATTTAGTTTAATTGTTTCTTGGGGTTCATAATCTGAAAAAGGTTCCATTAAAAACACATTTATTCTAATAATACAATTTTTGAGTCGTTTACCATATGATCGTGAACTATTTCGTAAAATTTACAAACATTATTGAATCTTACAAATCACCGACTTGAACCGACAAGAGTGGATGTGAGTGGAGTGTGAGTGTCGGTGTGTGGGGGCAAAAGTGTCCAAGGTGCTCGCCGACAAGGATTCCTCTGTAATTGTAGACTGAACCTACCTAGTTTCTTTTATGATTTTTATCTCAGTGGCCTAGGTCATGCATATTCTATTATTAATTGTCTTTGTGGAGTATACATGTTGTTAAAATAGAAATATTATGACACACCCACGGGCAGTGGTGCAATGAAGGACATTTTTCGGTGGGGGGGGGTGTAATTGGACAAATTTCAGGGGTCCTTAAATTTGGGCCCTCCACATTTAGGATTGAGTACAAGATCAAAAGTTCCATTGGATGATTGAGATATTCTAATTTAGATTAGAGAATATGAAGGTCACCCTCAAATCGCGACGAAAGCTTCTAAATGAATCACTGGGGTTCGTAATTTGATCGACTTTTGATTAAAGGTTTCTCATTGGTGACTGTCTGTCTTTTAAAAGGACTGGATGGGATTCGTAACTTGATTGAAGTATGAAACTTATGTTCTAATACAAAAATTTCAATATTTCCATTTTATTTAACTAACTTGTGTTGCTCGCCCAGAATATACCTCGAATCGAATCTACTTTTCAAAATTTTATTTTGACCTTAATACCCCAGCCCCGATTGACTTGTCCAACAAGGGTAGATTAAAAAGATATAATTATCAAATTGAAATCGTTTAAATATGATAATCGGTCAATAAAGGAAACACAACTTTAAATATGAAAACAATAAATGATATAAGCATTATTATATTATAATGTGTCATTTTATCGTTAAGCTTCGTTATAAAAACAAATCCGTAACAACCCATTGATAAAATTGCATTATGGATATGATAATTATTTACATAATCAAATTCTTATAATATTACTTATTACGAATGTAAAATAAGGTGAGCATAGAAAAGGTTATTGTAACCATCAACGATTCCAACTAATGGTTCCCCCAAAAAAACTGTATTTTGTCCTATATTATTTCTTTTCTTTGAATGCAAAGATACGTCTCTAAATGCCCTAATGGGTGTCGAAAGCAAGAAAAGAAATAAATTACCATCAACTGCAAATTTATAATCGTGTGAAACTACTATGTTTATACTTCTTGCTTCCATACAACCTGTAAGAAAAAAAACCCTATACGTCAGCCTGTAGGTTGAGGGTGACAAATGTGGGGTGGGTGGGATGTGTAGCGCTATTTTTTAACAACATTGTATCACAATGATTGCTAAAACAGTAGGCCCTCGGATGGTTGTTTGATGTGAGACTGCTCTCTCTCTCTCTCTCTCTCTCTATCTCTATCTCTCTCTCTCTCTCTCTGTTTATTTAACCATCAGAATCTGAAGAGAGACAAAACTGTCTTATCAATCTCGCCCTGTCCTGGCCGTAAAGCACCAAAATAGTCATACTGAGGTAAGGGCGAGGGGAGTCAAATATTTCGAACTATACGTGGACAACTTCTAGCCTATTTGGCGATAACAGAAAATTGATGCCTCAGATGGCCTGTTCTACCGTAGTCTAACTGAAACTAACGTTCTGCACAAATGAAGAAAATATAGAGTAGGCGAACTCAGTATGTCACGGTACTTAGCTATAATCTGAATACATTCGATCATACATGCATGTCAGATCAACAACTCTTTTAGTCCAATATTTTGAAAAATAGGTTATCTCACTGACTATAGCCTGCCTATATCGGAATAAATGTACCGTAGCCCACTGCCGTCAGTGTTATGTAGCCTATTAGTAATATTAGTAAATGCCAAGTGATCGCGCCACGCATAAACCAGTACACAAGACAAACCCACGGGCCTAGAAAAAAGACGTCAAACATTCAGACTTGAGACCAAGTGAATGGTTCTTGTATTTGTAATTGACTTTCTAGTCTTATAAGTTATTATTTAGGCCTGTTTTATCATGAATGCTAATTGTAACTTGAACTTGATTGGAGTAACCATTTATAGAGACCCACCAAAAAGGCCTTCTAAATAAAAAAAGGGAAATTCTTATAGTTCGTAGACAAATCAGATTTTGTTTCTTAATCTTAGAATGCGATCATGCACTTCAGTTAAGGGGAGACTAATCCATTTCGTTTGAGTTTTTCGTGACAGACAGCAGCAGTGCCAGTGGATGAAATTAATAATCTTTACATATTTAAGTTAATTTCCTACTATAAATAATATTGAACATGGACATAGTAAGAACCACTGCTGGAAAGGAACCAAACTCACTAACTCAAACTGTCTCGTCTGACTTGTTTTGGACTATTTGGAGGACTTGAGGGGCTTGAGCAGAATTAGTTTCGATAAATGGAGATATTTCCCTTAAAACATAAAACTACCAATTTTACCTGAGAAAAGAAGCGGTATCAGGCAGTTGATTAACAAAATGCATGTTTGTGAATGCATTAGATTTTACTTCCATTAGCTTATTCTTTCGTAGACAGTCTAAGACAAAGAAGGTTGTTTCTATTTTCGTCCATTTTGGGTTTAGAATGACAGCGTGACGATATTGATGACGTATGAAAGGGTCTTTCGAACACTAGAGGGCGCTACACCATAGGTAAACATGTCAAGCATGGCGAAACAGGTCTGTGGAAGGGCTGCCGGTAGGTTTTTAACAGTTTATTAGCGTTAGTCTTCTTATATTGTATTTCCCAATAAATTTACCAGCACTCTCTGTAATTCTGTATAATTACACTGTTGTCCTTGAGTAGTATGACCTTGTGTTTGTCTGTTACTGTAATAATTTAAGGTTACATAACATTCCATTTGTTGACATTTTTCTTAACCGCTCTCAGTCTCAGCCGTTCTAAAATTTCGTCTGCTACTGTTAAAGACTCCAAATGGCATTCTCTCAGCTATCGGCCACATGTGACCTTCATATGTGTTATACAATGTATTTAAAGCTACATCTAAGGTTTAAATAAAGGCCTGTTTACAGAAACTATTATTTTCTGTCTATTTGTAGAGCCAACAAACAATTTTTTTTCCTAAACTACATAAAGAAAAGAAATAAAATAAATTTGTTGATCATGTCCTTTCCTTTTAACTTTTGGGCACTGGTCAGTATAATATTTTTATTATACTGACTTATAGTCTATTTATTGAACATCCAAATAGTCACATTTATTTTTTTTTAAAATAAGAATGTACCGTAATTATGATTTTACTATGCATGCAAAACTAAATAGCTTGCAAAATAAGTGTGCTTAGTCATTATTATACTATTGAAAATTTTATGACTATTGAATAATATGTAGACTAATAAAACGTAACAGGCAGATATATTACGATGCACTTTGAAATTATAGAGGCATTCTGCAAGAGCTAACATTTAGATATTTATTCACATGACAATGGTATAAATTATAAGTGACTCTGATGACCATCAGATGGTTTAGATTTTGAGTTGATTAGACAATGCACACCATATCGAGAAATGAACTGTCAATCAGCAATCAGTGGGTTGGACACAATTTAGGTTATTTCTTGTCAAAACTTCAAACATTCATAACTTTACTCAGAATTAAGTACTGTAATTTGACTGAAATTTTCAGTATATGTATTCATTTTTTATTATCTATTTTTAAACTATTACAAGAAGAACAGTCAGCTCTTACATAACACCTCTTGTGCTTGGTTTTGTGGTTGTGCTCTTGCACTGAAGTGAGCTGTGTTTTAAATTCTATATTATTATTATTTCTCTTTTACCATCTGACATATTAAATAAACGTTGTTGAATGAGTGTGAACTTTTTATATTTCAGGTGTTTTGATTTCAAGTTTTCGAAGTCTACCCCATTCTCCATTGTCAGGCTGTCATGGAGCATCTGTTACTGCTTGTCAAAATAGATATGCCAGTACAAGGTTTGATATGTTAACAATAAACAATGCATGTATTGTACTCTCTCAAACTTCATAGACCAACTGTAATGATTGACCTATATATGGGAAATTAACAATGGATCAGAAAAGGCTTTAGTTTTAACTTTTTAAGTAACTCTATTAGAAAATAAAACATTAGGATATAAGCTTACATGAAGAAGAAGAAGATCTGTTTTATTTATGTATCACACATTGTACAGTAAAAATATAATTTAAAAGATCTAGCCTTTAAGGCCAACGAGACACAATAAAAATGATAAATCATTTACATGTGAAGATAATAAATAAATAAAAATTTGAAACGAACCAACAATAACATTTTACTATTACATGCCCTATAATATGCTATCAATCACGATATAATCATTTGAAATAAGAAAGCAATAAGTAATTAAAAACAAATAGGCATAATAAATGGCTGATAATAGTAATCAAAATCTCATTGTATATAACATTTAACAGTGGCAGCTGGTATTTTTACAAGGTGCGACTTGCTCAGGGAACACAACTGGTGAGTGTCAATGTTATGGCATTCCATGACATTAGTCTCAAAGTAGCATTCTGCATGTACACAAGAAGTGGGTCTCATCCTCTATATTTGACGTGTGGCAATAATTACATTTTCTGTCTGTTAATAATGTCACTGTAATAGTACAATTTGCTAGTGTTAAAAAGTTTATACAATTATGTTGATTGTTATTTTTTAGTTCAAAACCAAAAACTGGTATTCTCATGTTGAATATGGGAGGTCCAGAAACAACGGATGACGTACATGACTTTCTCTTAAGACTTTTCTTAGATAAAGATTTGATTCCTTTACCGGCACAGAGGTTAGTAATATTATTCTGTAAATAATATTGAATCATTGTCATGAGTATATATATCTTGTACGTAAGAATATGGTACTATAAGTATTCAGTATGAGGTTTTTTGTAGATATGCTACCAACTGTTAAGGAGTTGGGAACAAGTCTTGGCACCTTGAGTCCATGTCAAGTCCCTGACTTTAATACCTGTTCAAGTTGCCAGTTGATCAAATGATTCAGTAAATCAACATAGCCCATAATTTTGCCACTTATTATGACAATATATAATATAATACAATCGGATCTATCAGCTGCCTTTGAAAAAAATATGTCTTTACGTAGATAGGTCATCGATGTTAGCTCTTTCATGTCGCGAGTTGCCATGACTGACAAGTCTCATTCCAATCTCGAGGTGTGATAAATATTTCAAGTAGAGCCACGTTTGATGTGGCTTAAGTCTGACTGGAGTCTCAGGACATAAGTTCCCACCTCTAATTTATTGAGTAATATGTGTAAACTGTTGGGTGGCATGCTGATTGCATCGCACAGTAGCCTTAGCTGTATTTGATGTGGGGATCGAATAGTTTGACAAATTCATTTTAGATCATAAATTGTCATATTGAGTCAAGTGTGTGGTTTTGATTCTAGTCATCAAGGAGTAGGATTATCTGTCTAAATTACCAGTCATTTCAAATATAACCTAGTTTATGTTGAATAGATATACTAAACCCTATTTCTTTCTCTCTGTGTCTTCGATACTATATATCATAGGAAGGTACTTGCAGTATCTGATCTCACTGGAAGTCTAATGAACCAGTTGCCACTCTTGACTGGTTAGAATACTGTTCTTATTCCTTAAAATTACAATCCTAATAACCATATCAGGTGTATACCTCTATTTTTTCTGGTAATTAGAAAGATCATATTCTCAACCTCACCAAGACATATCTTTATGTGTGGTTAAATATTCAGTCTACTTTAGCAAATATATTTTGCTCTTAAACAGTGCGATTTCAATGTAGATTAAGACAGGTTATTAAGATTAATTTTCACTTTTATTGTTCTAGTCGTTTGGCTCCATGGATTGCAAAGAGAAGAACCCCATCTATTCAAGATCAGTATAGAAAAATTGGAGGAGGATCACCAATTAAAAAATGGACTGAAAAACAAGGCCAGGGCATGGTGGAATTGCTTGATAAAATTAGTCCAGAAACAGGTGAATTTTGTAACTTACAATATTGCTGCGTCATGACTTAAAGAATGAACATCAGTTGTTGATCGTTTCAACTACTTTTCAGTACCATAGTTTATGAAGTGGTAATGGCAAGGAAACTTTGTAGTAGAGAGAGAAACAGAGAGAAATGGGGTTTTACGTCTACACTAGACATGAACTAGGTCATTTTGGGATTAACATGGTTCAAATTTATTTCAATAATTGGCTTGCGTGCAGGGGTCTTTAGCAGTGGGAGGAAACCCATGAGATTGGACAAGCAACCTTATTCCTTGTCACATACAAGCAAGGGGGTTGAAACCATGCCACTTGACTCCATGACAGACCCTTCATACTAATGGGGGTTCTGATTAATTTGCTCATGTGTTTCACATAGATTGCTTTTTTCTTTAAAGACAATTACATATAAATTTACGTATAGTTTTATTTTATTTTCAGCACCACACAAATTTTATGTAGGTTTTCGTTATGTAAATCCTTTAACAGAAGATTCTATTGAACAGATGGAAAGGTAAGACAAGTTTAATGGAAAGTCTATCAACATTGTACATTAAGGGCTGCATGTTCCATTATTTTGCACCTATCATAGTATTATTCAATTTAATTATACCATTGACAGGGATGGTTTAGAAAGAGCTGTTGCCTTCACACAATACCCACAATACAGTTGCTCTACAACAGGAAGTAGTTTAAATGCTGTATATAAACATTATGCAAAGAGGGGTGTACCAAGTGACCTTATATGGAGTGTGATTGATAGATGGCCGACACATAAAGGTCTGGTCAAGGTATGATTATTATATTTCTCATCTTGAAATTCTCTCATATGTTTTTGGATTTTCAATCCATGGTTAGATTGGTATTATTAGTTCTAATGTTCTAATAAGGTGAGGGGGGGGTCGAACGAATAGCGCATGTGCTTTGCATCATAAGGTCTGTCATTGAGTCAACTGGCATGGTTTCGATTCCCCCGGTTGTACGTGACAAGGAGTAGGGTCACCAGTTCAACTTCGTGGGTTTTCTCCGGGTCCTCCAGTTTCCTCCCACTGCTAAAGACCCCTACACAGATCCAAATTATTGAAATAAAATTGAACCATATGTTAGTCCTGAAATGACCTAGTTTCTCTCTCTCTCTCTCTAATAAAGTATCGGTCAAATTTTAACTGAGACTAAATGTTTACACCCCAATGAGTAGTGATATTGTTCTTTCTGGCAATATTTATATATTCATATTTGTCTTTTTTAGGCTTTTGCTGATAATATTCGTAAAGAGATCGCCAGATTTCCAAAAGAGGACAGAGATGATATTGTTATTCTTTTCTCCGCCCATTCATTGCCAATGAAAGTAAGTTTTTCCAAATTGGTACGATTATTTCATTGTCAAGGTCAGATGTTCGCACAATTATATTCATTACGGAAAGCCAACTATCAAGGCATCTAGTTAGTGACCAATTTCAAAAGAACTTATTTTGTTCAAAACAAAATGGGCTTGGGAAACGCTCTCAAATGGCCAGGGTATAATGTCCGAGATGAGGCAAACAATTTTCACAAAGTCATAGATTATCCTAGATTATATGTGGTAATTATATTGTAATCACAATGTTGTTAATTTTGATCCATGATTAATTTTAATTTATTCAAAATGACACCTACAAATTTAAAAAAATGTGTAAATAAAAAGGCAGAGAGAAATTGTATTTTACTCTCCACAAAAGTTCTGTATTATTTTATTCAATTGTAATTATATACAGGTGTTGAAATTGTATAAAACTATATCTGTTAAGTGGTTAATTGAACAGACATTATTTCTGATGCATATCTGAATACAGTATGACAGATGTGTTTTATTTAATAATTCATTTTAAAATATTCAGATGTCGGTTTCTCCAATTTTATTCAAATTAAAGTTTATCCTGAAACTTTTTGAAAATGTTTGTGTTTACATATTTCAAGCAAGAAATTAGCGAACAGAACGAGTGGGTTTAATTACAACTTCAAAATGATGTTTAATACGAATCATAATTACCAGTACAACAACTGACTTCCACTTTTCAGCCAAATTAAGGTCAAATAAAGGGTACGATGGACGTATTTGTCCGGGAGGCCATTTCAGAAGGGCCATGGTTCGACGTGACTCAGATCGTTAACTGAAATTGATTGTTCCACAGAAAGCTTATACAATTTGCTACCAGATGGCACCGTTAACTGGGGTTCGTTGAAAAAGTGACTTAGATCGTTCTTCCCCGGGGCTCTTCATATATATCTTACATGATATTTTAACATGCTGTTTGATTGACAAAAGTGGAATTCATAAAATTGTAGGTTGTAATGATATTTGTTGACCATTTATATCCTTTCTTACAGTTTCCACTAAAAAAGTAGTGAATTATTCGGTATAAGTATTGTTTTATAAGAAACTTTTGAAGATTGTCATTTTTTTGTGAGAATAGCTGTAATCTTAGATTTGATATCTTTACAACGACGTGATTAGAATATACAGAATTTGTGATCTACAAGTGAAAGGTTAACTTATGAACTTAGGGAACTCTTTGCATGGTGTTGGTTATTTTGAGAGCGCCCCTCAAAGCCCATCTTTTTTTTATATAGAAAATTGGTCACAGATTCCTACTAATTTCCTCAACTAATAGAATTGCTCTCTAGGATAGAGCCAAAATTTCCACTGATTTTTTTTACAGGTGGTTAATCGTGGAGATCCTTATCCTACCGAAGTAGCGTCAACTGTACAACGAGTAATGGAAGAATTAGGTCATAGTCATTCTTACAGACTTGTATGGCAATCAAAGGTACATGTTGTTTTCATTTGTTTGTTTCCTTATTCAGTATGATTTGAATAGAGATTTAGGTCAGACTGAATCTATGTAAATTTCCTGTACCTCTTCATGATATCATATTGAATTTAACAGGCTATATATATTTTTTCATCATCTATAGTTTAGTTGAGGTTATTTAACCATATTAGTAATAATCACTAATATTATTAAAAAATAAATATAACACTGTATTGAATGATTCTTGTTAATCATCAGATTATCCATTAAATATTAAAAGAATTAGAAATATGATTACAAATATGGTAATCTATCTTTTCATTATCAAATATATTATTTAGGTGGGACCACAGCCTTGGTTAAGTCCACAAACTGATGAAGCCATTAAAGGTTTATCAGCTAGAGGAAAGAAAAATCTACTATTAGTGCCTATTGCCTTTACTAGTGACCACATAGAAACATTGTATGAATTAGATCTGGAATATGCCCAACATTTGGGAGCTGAGGTTGGTATATTAAATTGATCGTAAATTGTAATTTATCAATGCCTAGTTACTAGTATGTCTAATAAAAAGAAATTCACATGAATTTAATATTATATAAATCTGTTGTTATTTTCTAAGTTGATAAGAAGAAGCTATTTCTATTTTAAATGTAAAAAATATCAGTAGGATTGACTACTCTTAAAATGGTTAGTAGTTTACTTTTTGACAACAACAAAAATGTATACCGTTAGTTTTAAGTTCAACAAGATGGATCATGATTTTGTCACATCAACAATAAAATACTATTTTATTATTACAGTGTGGAATAAAAAACATAAGAAGAGCAGCATCTCTGAATGATAATCCAATATTTATTGAAGTATGTTCATGTTTATATATTCAATTATTTAGTTACTTAGGTATTCTATATAATATAGCAACATCAAAGATAGGTGTCCAGATGATGGTCTGTGTAAAAGATAACCAAAATGTCAGAGAGCCCCCGACATTAGGGACGAATATATGAGTTGTCTGTGTGTCCGCCCCAAATTCTTTACCAGCACACATCTGTTTATGAAACTTTGTACACATCAACAAATTTCTCTGATTTAATCATTTTTGTTTTTCTGTTCGTTGTTGATTTTCCAATAATACAGACATATGTATCACTGTTATTTTCAAAATGGTTAAAACATGAACAATTGATCAAAAAATCTGTCATTGAGTGATTTCCCGCTTGTACAAGATAAGGAGTTGGGTTGCCTGTTCAACCTCGTGGTTTCCCTTCGGGTCCTCCGGTTTCAGCCCACAGCTAGCGAATTAATGAAATAGAATTGAACCATTTGTTTGTCCTGAAATGACATAGTTTGTGTCGAATAGACATTAAACCCCCATTTCTCTCTCCCTCTTTCTCTCTCTCTTTCCAAAACATGTTTTGGTGTGTTGGATGTTGATGACTGAGTCTTCTTTTTAGATTTAAAACTTCTATTAAGAAACCAAGAGCTTAAACTCACCTACCCCAGAAAAGTTATCCATATATAAAGCAAATATTTCCTTAAAATACAACAGAAAAATTATTATAAACTGTATTAGTTTAAATTTATCATGCTTTTGGTTGACAATATTTGACTTTCTAATTGTGCTATGAATTATAACAATATCACATTCTTTTTGTTACCTGGTAATTAAATATTGAATGTAATTTTGTGTTTCAGGCATTAGCAGATATAGTGAAGACCCATCTTCATTCCAATAATGTCTGTTCACGCCAGTTATTATTAAGATGTCCGATGTGTACTAACCCAACATGTGGACAGACCAAGGAATTTTTCTCTTCCCAACAAGAATACTTAGATGTTCTAGTAGAAGAGTCAAGTGGTCTCAAACGGTCTCAGTCCACATAAAAGAATCTGAATATTGAATAACAAGTGCTATTTTTTCTGAAAAGAAGAATCATTGAATTCCTGTCTTCCACAATCTATTCATATTATTATATGGCATTACGCTTGGTTAAAGGTTAGGATTGAGTATGGCTCTCAACAGTATTATAGCTTAGAATATATAAGATTCTGATAATAATAAGGGTGTGATCTGTGGAAGTCAATGTTAGTGCTTTAATTAAGCCCTGGTGTACTGTTTATTTATATGTTTTACTGGGAGACATGGCTACAGACTGATATTTTTGGGTTAAACAGGGATGTTAAAATTCTAGGTAAAATTCTTTGATTATTTGCATTTAGTAGGTGCAGATGAGGTTGCATTATAGCAAGTACTTGTATTAAGAAAGACATTTTTGACTATTGTTTGAAAATTTTTGAAAGATAACAAATTGTATATGTTGTTGGTATATTATGCATTTTCTTTCTACTTTCTGAAGTCAAATATTTAATGAAACCTAATCTATTTCTACCTCTATCTTTGTGTGTTTCTTTCTTTCAAGGAATAATGGGGAATTTGTTGTATTTTTGTTTTTGTTGAGAATTGTTAGAATAAATGAGTCATACATATTAAGTCATTGAAAGAGGATGTAGCTGCATGATTGCTTATATAAGTTCTAAAAATGAATCTTTATTTAAATTATACATGGTTAGCTAGTAACTACCTATCTGTGCATGTTATTTTACTTATATTATTGTTATACATGACACTGTCAATCAAACTGACATAAAACCATATACAATCAAATGATGCACAGATGTTTTTTTTATGATAATGAAGTGAGTTTAGATCAAGATATGATAACGAATTGTGTAATAACTGGTACTGTTTTAGATATTAAAAACTATTATAATGTTCTTTTTTAAAATATAAAATTAAGCTTAAATAAATATTTATATTAATATTGTGTGGTTTGTCCTATTTTGTAGAACATAAGAGAGACATTTTACTGAGAAAAACTTGGAAATGATGTACAAAACATTGGCTTATGAGTTCATTTCATTGATAGGGTCATCTGTTAGACCATTTGTATGGGGTTAATCAAATATATTTTATTCAGACAATAATCTTATTACAATGTCAGCATTTCTATTGGGCTGTCAAAATATGTAGTTTACATTAGATAGATCTACTATATTCAGGGAAAAAGGATGTGGCAAGGACTTGGTGTGTCACAATTATAATATCATGAAGGGTCCTTTTCACAGAGCACATGTACCACAAGTACATGTACTTATGCAAATATAATCGAAAAGTAACTCTATTAACTTAAGGATACATTATGGTAGATAAGATAAAGAGCTGGCAGTTCTCACTATAATAGTTAAAAACTAGGTAATGTAAAGGCAATTTGCTGAAAATTTCAGTCCAATTGATCCACTAAGAACTGAGAATTAAGCAATTGAAATTTCAGCCTAGCCTCGATCATCATTACTAAAGTCTGTACATAAAAAAACATTTTCTCGATCATCCATTTCATGATTAAATAATGAATGGAAGTCAAACAGCAAATCGGAACCTAATCCAATAAACATCGCAGGCTAGGGATGCCATCGAGAGTTGATTATGGTCTGGATAAGTCTAATTAATAATTTAGATAACATTTCAGGCCTAAATAAAGACGTGCAATTGGCAGATTTAGCTCTTGCATAATGTACGTAACTTTATATGTTTTTCATCATCATGGTCCAAACAAAAATTCCACAGACTGTAAACTATATGTGTATACCTGTACTATAGGACTTGCCCGGTGGGAATTCTTTTGACTAATTGAGAAAGTGTATATCTCTTCAGTACTGGTTGTCAGGGGTTCAAATTCCAACATCTACATTTAAAGAAGCTTAGTCTTTAACTCAATATCATCCAAAATCTTCAACATTGAAAACACGATTTATTTGTCAATATAAATCAACATTCATGTTGTGATCTTACCGGGAAAAGATGGCCTTCTGATATCCAATATTTAAGACAAAATAAACATTTTACCATTGGTACACGAATTGTGTACCATAATGCGCTTCAGCCCCAGTTGTATCAAGAGACTCGTGGGACGAGGCTAGACACATTGCACCAAATCAAACGGCGTATGTAGACTGGAATAACCAGACGCTACAAAATTTGCACTCGCTTGAGACTGCTGGCTTATTTCGCCGAACATAACTGATTTGAAATTGGAGTAAAAACGGAAACCATTGAATGTAAATCAGTTTATATACATTCATATTACAGTATTATATGCGTTGCGACCCACTTTTGCCAATTTCTAGGTCCCAAATGTTAGCGATGTGTCTAGTCATTTTGATGAAACAAAAAAAACCCAAGGTCCAATATACCCATGGGCATGCAGATAACAGAACCCTTGAAAGTTGGAATTAGAAATAAGAGTAGGCCATAGCACTGCTGACTAGCCAAAATTTCCCTCAAAATTAAGCAATCCACTTTCATCGTCAAAAACTCACATGAAAAGGCTTTTATCAATTTCTGTTATTAAAAGAGCTCATGAAATTTTCTTTGGAGGCGATCTAATCTAAAACCAATTGACCGTATTTTTGAAAACATCATGCACATGTATTCATGGAGCACTTGTTTTAAATCATTTTACCCTTATTTCAGTATGTTTACTTTTTAGGAAGAGTTATTTCCCTTTAACTACTTCCCTGGAATATGATTAGATTCGTATAATTACTTAAAAGTACATTAAAATGTTTGATTAGGCCCCGAGTTCACAAAGCATTAAGTTAAGAATTTACTCAAAATTGTGGGCATTATTTTAACTAAAATATTGCCCTTTATAAAACTTTTGTTGTTTTAATGTATCAAATACATCAATAAGAAACTATGTGCAACGTTATGTGTTTCTGGATCAATGATATTTTTCATAAACAGTGATAGAAAGTTGAGTAAATTCTTGATTTAAGTTTAAGAATGCTTTGTGAATGCCTGATTTATTTTATCAGCTAAAGGTACAACAAATGTTTGATTAGATTCATTTTATCAGCTAATAGTAAGTACAGCAAATGTTTGGTATCTGTGTCTTGTGTGCAGAACTGTACATGATTAAGAAGTCTGTGCAAAGTCTGTTCAAATTTATTGATGGGGGTAGTACATTTGGTCGAAAATGTTATATTTGCCAGAAAATGCATTTTGTTTGACAAGCCGGGATGTCATTTGTCAGGAGTGGCTATATTATATTTAAACACCACAAATGAGAAATAGTAGCGATCAGGTGTTTACAAACCAAATGCATACCATATTTCATGCATAACATCCGCCATCGCTAGACAGTTTGTGTCTGGATTTCAGAAGACAAAAGTACTGGTTGAGGGCATATTTGGTGCTTATATATAGTGTGTATAGTTTATTCACATGGAATATTCTTTGGCAGTTGGTAGTATACGTGAAATATCCCTTGGTAGTTAGAATTCGGGGAAAAGTGGGCGGAAACACCACTAACATAGTAAAACTTCCACTGCATTGCATACACAATTGTTAGTCTCAAAATGACATAAGTAAAGTGTTGGTGAGATTTTAATCACCATTCAATTCAAACTGTTAACTATGTGAGCTCTTAAACTGATAAGTGGTATCAGCTGTTCTATAACGTGGGTGCTTCAGATCATAAGGTTGATCCAAGTGGCATACGTTTTCCCGGGGTTTTTTGGTTTCCTCTACATGCTAAAGACCATTTTGAAATGACTATGACCTAGTTTGTGTTGAGAGGACGTACAATACTTTTACCGCATATGATGATTATCATTTTTCGCCCAGTCTGTGCAGAAAAGTAGGAAGTTAAAGCCCAGTTTTCGTTAAGTGCTAACCATTGTTACATCTACTATAATAGTGATGTGGGGCTTGTGGCGGTTTTGGGAAGTTAAATTAGGAACCGGTTCATGTCATTTCATTTGCAGTGTCAATATGTCACCATGCTAACTGAATAATCCAACCTCTGACAGTTCACACTGATCAGCAGTGAATATTCACTCGGTCGCTTTCGTAATACTCTGTCTGATACTTCTCTACCTGAGACTGAAGACTGTACTGGAGGTTTCGTATTAAAATTTTACGAAAAATAAATATTTAGAACATTAATATCAATATTTCTTTGTTGCACATCAATCATTTACATTTATTTAATTTTTTTTACCATCACGATGTTTTTACATCGCCGAAGGCCTAAGTTTTAAATTCTCATAATATGACCAGGCTTAAATTTATATGTTTCCTGTTGTCAGATTTGTGAAATATTTCAAACAATAGTTAAAAATATAATAACGATTTATTTGACGTTAAGATATATAAATGTTGGCATAAGATATCAAAATGTAATTCATTATGTTCAATGGCCGCTGTTAAACGATCTATTAAAGTGGTTTTATGTCAAGTACAGGTAATGCTAACAAATCTTTATTCCCTTCAAGGACTTCTTCGTGTCTTATCGCGTCAGCAAATAAGCCTTAACGATGTAAATGTTTCTAAGAAAAAAATCCGATAAAAGTGATAGGATGACTCTATTATTCACAATTCTTCTGCTAAATTGAACAAAATCGTTTCAATGCATGGATGCTAGCAGAATATGGCGCCAGCGAGTCGCTCGTACGCTAATTGCAGACTGTTATTATTGACCGCACGTTAGATTGAAAGGAAGGCAAGAACAGAATGTGATTTCCCGAATGACTTGAAATGATTGACGTTCATATCCCATACGTAAAAAAAGATACAAAAAATGACAAAATTACCTTAGTTCTTGTTCCTGCTGATTGAACTTTGTTTTGATTTAATTTTTTGAATGAGTAAAATTTTCCATTTAAAGCAGCAATCAATCACGCGAGACAGTGAAATGGGTTTAAAATTGCATAAAGAATAATCTTCCTATTATTACGCACAATAAGACACCGATTTAAATGCTGACATAAAATCACAAAGCAAATAAAATTAAAGACTACATGCAGCATTGTTTTTATAGTCAATGTAAATTAAAGAAAAAATTGATAAACACAAGAAGGAAAGATTTGCGTTCGTGTATCTGACTATCAAACTGGTCTTACAAAAGAATCCATGGGTTCGAATGGTATCGTCAACACCATACTATACTGTCATTTGGACATTGGAGACAATGATGTAGGAGTACTTAGCACGAACATATGACATTGTGTATCTCCTTATTCGATCCATTCATACGAGTATGGAAAATGTTCCCGAAGATTTTGCTCGGATTCGAACCCGGATAATCTGACATATGCAGCATGCTTGAATTTCTTTTGATCATCAACAATATTAGAAATTGTACAGTCTTGGAAGTCCAACGGCCAAATGGGGTATTCAATCCAAATGACTACACGCAACAATTATGGACCGGGCTTGGAAGACAAAGTGCCTGGTTTCTGTTGGGCACACGTTGGAATTCAATCGTAGGGATATTCTTGTTGTGAAAACACACCCCCTGACTACTGAGACAGAAACCCAATCATGGCCACCTCTCCAGTCCCTTGTCATTTGCCCATGCACCTACGCAACCGTTGCCCACTTTGTCAGCGATAAATATTATGTAGCATGCTTCGTAATTCATACTTACCCCTAGGAGTCAAATTATCTGTGTGTCGATAGATAGAAGCTCTTACAACTTAAAGAAAACAAAGATTATGGCTGAAATAATAGAAAAGTCAAAAGTTAATTTTAAAGAGACAGACAAAAGAAAGGAAGAACAAATAAAGGCAACTATAATTACATTTCAGCACGTACATGGCCAGACATTCCGCACTAGTTGACCCTACAACTATTACAGATAAAAGTGTGAGTTATTTCTATAAAACGTAGACAGAAATAACTTATGTCTAGCCCCTCGCACGTCCAGAATTTGAAAACAGTGTACGAATCTTTTCTA